TATAGTTCAAATGAGATCATTTTTGTGAAATGGCTTTGTAAACTGTAACATGCCCTATAAATACAGGAGTAGCATTAATATTGGCTCTGACTCTCCAGTGTGGCTTTGTGTGTTTGTCTAAACAGTTAGTATCTATCAGTGGTCCATTGCACAAAGAACTGACAAAATGGTATCCTATGCTTCTGTTGTTGTTTCTTTTTGCAATCCAAAATCTTAGTTAATTGCCTTCATTAGCTTAATATATACCACGTGAAACGGGTAGAAAAGCAGAACTCAAAACTCAGAGAATAAAGGACAGAACATAACTAACTACTGATTAGTAGTGTACAGTTAACCGACCTGATGCAGGGAACTGAAACATATAAGCGTCATCTAGTACTACCTCAAATACAGTAAAGTGGATGACAGCACTATATAAACTGTAAAGCTGAATAATAATGCCAAGGATTGTTGTCGTGATGACTACTGAGATTGGCTGTCACCCAGCGACTTAGCTGTGATATGCTTCCAGGCAGTTCCTGAGAAGTCCTGCAAGCCCCTTTGCTGTACAGGTGCTAGAAAGTGCTATAGAAATACAGTCTCCTGATGACTGTAAAAGCCAGACAGCTAAATTTAATAAGACATTTGTCAAGGAGATGGAAGATTATGGCCAATTTTTGTAGACAGATAGTTGCTGGCTAAAACAAAGCGTGTATTGAACTGTTTGGGAGTAGGAAGAAGCATTGCTATGACAACGAATTACTTATATTTGATTTAGAAGAAGGAGAGCAGTGTAGCTTAATGGTTTAGAAAGCTCATGAGAACAATTGTTGGCACAGGTTTATGTTAAAATATAAAATGTTAAGTATGATCTGTTAAATAATTGAGCACCTCAGAGCATTCTGTCTCTTCTCTCACTCTCTCTAACCAGTAAAAGACAGTATAAATAAAATTAAAGAAAAAAAAGCTAGCAGACTTACATGCAAATTGTTCAATTTTATAGTGTGCCCATATGAAATTCACAGCCTAAAATTTGTTGGATTGCGAAAAAAGTCATGTCTTTAAAGGAAAAAAAGAACCCAGAGACCTATTCACTATGTTTTCATGCCATCCAAACCTGATGATGGCAGTTTGGAATTTCTCATACTTTAGGTGATTAATCTTCTTTGTGATTGGTAGTATGTTTCATTTGAAAAGAAACTACACTTCTGACCATTTCTATCCTTTGACTCTGTACATGCCTGAGAGAATGAGTAAACAGTCATTTGTATGAACTGGTATTTTGTAGTTCCCCTGGGGAGGTAGGGATCAGGCAGGTGGTAGTGAAGGCATCTAGCATTTAGATGAAGCTTGTGGATATAGAGGCTTTCCCTTAGAAAGATAGCTCTTTCCTTTCCCTACAGGTAAACCCAAATAGATGGTCCATATTTACTGGGGATAGGTCTCAGTGTCTTGTTCATCAGGTTCTGAGGGATAGATCTAAGGGCTCCTTGAAAGCTCTTGAGGCAGAGGATCAGATACTTTCTAATCTGTCCTTTTTTGCCTTTCCCTGTTCCCCCCTTTTACCCAGTACCATCTTCCTGTTTTCCCCCTATGCTTCCAGAACAGGAAAGTAAAGTAGGAAACAGGGAAAAGCTTAGAAAATGGAGGACTGACTTCAAGAGGATAGGAATAACTACCCTTAACTTTTAAACTGCCTCTGCAGGCAAAACTCACAAATTTGTATCTTCCGCCCCAATTCTTTGGAGGGAAAAATTCCGTTGGCCATTACTACTGGGGGGAGGCCATGCCATAGAGTTCATTCAGAGGAGGAAGATTGAAAATAATAAGCCAGAACTTAGTCTCACCTTCTCCTGTAAAAGAGAAGTGGGCCAGAATCACAACTGTTTTGATGAATCATAGAATTTGCCTGGCGTACTGTTTAAATTTCACCTTCTTATGTGACTTGGTGTTCTGTATTTTGTTAGTTGGCATCATGTCAGATCATGTTCTACCCTCCTCAGAAACTTCAGGTGCTCTCAGTTACTTACAGATTAAAATCCAGAATTGGTGAGCTGTTCCTAAGGCCCTTCATGATGTGGAAATAGACCTCTTAGAAAAACATTGCAAAAGCAAGACATACTCATTATAGAACATTTGGAAGCTAAAGAATTTGGCAAACTTTTTCTGTAAAGGGCCAGTTAGTAAATGTTTTAGGCTTTGTGAACCATGCTGTGTCTGCCACAACTACTCAACTCTGCTATTGAAGCACAAAAGCAGCCACAGATAATGACAGTATGTGAGATAATGTGTGTGGCAGTATTCTACTAAAACTATAGACAAATCAGTCAGTGGGCCACATTTGGTTCGTGGGTCCTAGTTTGCTGAACACTGCTATAGAAAATAAAAATTGCTCATAGTCTTGCCACAAAAATGTTAATATATTCCTTATTTTCCTCCTTTTATTCATATTGTTTTACATGCTTGTGTCTGTACTGTATATTACCAGTTTTATACCTGATTTTTTTTTCGCAAAGCATCCTCATAAACATTTTCTATGTTATTTAAAACTTGTAAGCATAACTTAATGGCTGTGCAGTACTCCATCCTGTAACTGGATCATAATTTACCTAGTCATTGCCTGGTTTGTTTTTGTTTGTTTGTTTGAGATGGAGTCTTGCTCTGTCACCCAGGCTATAGTGCAGTGGCATGATCTCAGCTCACTGCAACTTCTGCTTCCCGGTTCAAGGGATTCTCATGCCTTAGCCTCCCAAGTAGCTGAGACTACAGGCTACCAATCACCATAGTCAGCTAATTTTTGTATTTTTAGTAGAGATGGCGTTTTACCATGTTGGCCAGGCTGATCTCGAATTTCTGATCTCACATGATCCACCCACTTTGGCCTCCCAAAGTGCTATATATTTTTTTTTTTTGCAGTTATAAACTTTAAAAAGTTTCTTCTTGTAGAAATCTTTGTGTTTCAGATTATTTTGTAGGTCATTTTCCATGAAGTGGAGTTACTGGGATGGGGGTATGGATGTCGTTAAGTAGCTTACTATTGCTTTCCTTTAAAAAAGTGTTATATGTAAATTTTCAGTGCCACAAAAGAAGCAGCACTCGAATATAAATTTCCTCAGCAAGGCAATTTACTTCTATAGAAGGATGGGGCTCACAGATATAGCAATGGCAAGTGCACACCTAGGCAAGGAAGGGGAAGAGGTTCTTATTCCGGACACAGGTAGCCCCTACTGCTGTGTCGTTCCCCTATTGGCTAGGGTTAGACAGCACAGTCTAAGCTAACTCTGACTGGCTATTTTAAAGAGAGCAGGTGTATGAGCCATAGTGTCAGGGTGGGTAGTTTGGTGGGAAGGACAGTTATGGGACAGGTCAGAGCAGGTGACCAGGAGTGACTCAGGGCAAAGCAGATGACCGGAGCAGATGACTGAGATGAGTCAGGACAGAGTGGGGTACCTGGGGAACAGATATAAACTACTGATTTTCTAATTTTCTAATTTTCCGGTGGAAAAGGTTGTTTACTGAAACTACAAGGAAGTTAAACTTTAAAATGGAGAATTAAAGAATAAGAGAGCTGAACATACTGACATACTGATTCTTTGAAGAAAAACTTGGAGTTCACTGTACCTAACAAAAGGTAGTGCTCATGCACATTCCCACTAGCAGTGGGGACAGAGAAAGCCTCTTCCACCTCATCCTCACTAACATCAGATATTCTCACTAAAGCAAAATCTTTTTTGTTGTTGTTGCTCTGCTTGCTTAGCAAAATCTTTTAAAGCATTTTTTTTAAAAAAATGGCATCTAAGTTAATGTGTAATTCTTTGATTATTATGGTGATTGGAGAAAACGTTTCAAATAATTGTTGAATGATGAGTGGGATCACTAATTGTCATAGTTCTTCTTTGGCTCACTTTTTCAAAAATGCACCCTGGGCCCTAACTCACTTCTCCTTTTCCTCACGCAGTTCCCCCTTTCATCCTCCTGGCTCCTTCTGTTAAAATTCTACTCATTCTTTAGGGCTCAATCCTATCTGAATTAATGTACCTTTCTGTGGAGTCCTCCCTAGTTCCTCCTACTTGATATGATCTCTCTACCTTTGAGTCCCCATAGCACTGTGTACCTCTCTCATGGTGTTTATCTCTTTCTGCCCCCTTTTGTGGTTATCTCTGTACTGGCTTTATGCCTAATCAGCCCATTGTACGCTAAGTTCTTTGCTAAGCTCTGGGAGTCACTGCACAGATAACATTACCCAGTGTCCATGCCCTGGGTAATGTTATCTGTGCAGTGACTCCCAGAGCTTAGCAGAGAACTTAGCGTACAATGGGCTGATTAGCCTCCTAGAGCTACGTTGAAAGGTGCCTGGGATCTGCTGCCGGTGACCTTTTAAAAACTTTGATGTTGCAATTACCTATGAGGTTTATAGAACGGATTGGGATCACTGGATCACTGATAAGAGATGCTTTGCTGATTACTTAAGATGGGCTGTATCTATAAGTCCTAGTCACTCTTTCTTGTGAAATTTGGATCATCAAGTTCTCCAAGTGGTGATAAAAAACAATTTTGGCATATGTTAGGCTGTTGTGTATCTGGTAGAAGTTTATGTGATGATGGAAATGTTTTACATCTATACTGTCTGATATTGTAGTCAGTGGCCACATGTGGCTATTGTGCACTGTGTATGTGGTTACTGCAACTGAGGAACTGATTTTTTTTTCATTTTACTAATTTTAAATACTTTAAATAGCCACATGTAGCTAGTGATAACCATATAGGACAGTGTAGGGTAATATAGAATATTTAAAGGTAAAGGTATGGTCTCTTTTTTTTTTCTTTTTTGAGACAGAGTCTCATTCTGTCACCCAGGCTGAAGTGCAGTGGCGTGATCTTGGCTCACTGTAACCTCTGCCTCCTGGGTTCCAGTGATTCTCCTGCCTCAGCCTCCCGAATAGCTGGGACTATAGGCATGTACCACCATGCCTGGCTAATTTTTGTATTTTGTAGTAGAGATGTGGTTTCACCATATTGGCCAGGCTGGTCTTGAACTCCTGACCTTGTGATCTGCCCACCTTGGCCTCCCAAAGTGCTGGGATTACAGGTGTGAGACATCGTGCCTAGCCATAGGTATGGTCTCTTTTTTATGGCTAAGAGAAGCTGGATATGTATAGTGACCCATGGTAACATTGACATTGTAGTTGTCTGGAGTTTTGGAGAGGCAGTCTAGATCCTGTTAGAACCATAGAGAGAGAGAAAGAGAGGAAGCCATAAGTTTGGTTCAAAAAGAAAACTGATTCCAGTGGGAAGTCTTTGTTGTAAGAAAAGGGAGATGATGACAGATTGGTAGGGTAGAGGCAGAGCACAATAAGCTGGAATACCAAGAGGAGACATTTGGACATGATACAATTGGTGATAGGGAACCATTAAAGATTCATGAAAAGAGAAGTGACAGATGAGCATGTTGTTGCAAGGTGTCCTTTGCCAGGCATATGAAGCTGCTGGGAAAGGATGTGAGTTATTGGCCCCTCCTTCAGTGGACAGGGTTGGGCAGTAGTGATTCACAAACTCCATCAAAACCCAGCCACATCAGAAAACACAAATGATTTATTTTTGCATTAGCTTCCAGTTATTGTGTGCCTTCCTGTGGTTCGGATATACACCACTATATATTGTGGAGGGCTTGTAGTTGGGGGATTGTGGAGGGCTTGTAGTTGGGGGATTGTGGAGAATGGTCACCTGTGTTAGGGGAGGCAGGCCAGTCACCTCTGCTTAACCACAGGTAGAATTGCCATCTGTGACCCTGGTGCCTTGAAAGGTGTGTCTTGAATGGTTCTTTGACTCTTCAGAAACAATCTGGGAGCTGATTCATTCTGTTCTCACTTGCCTGCTTCCTTTATGAGCGAGTAGCAAATTTCTAATTTTACTGTTAGGAGAATATTTTCAATGTCCTTTTTTAATCTTTCAATTAAGTTGAACCTTTCAATTAAGTTTAATTAATATTTCTTCCCACTACCTACTGTTTACTGCCCTCACCCTGTCATTTATTAGATTGCTTATATTTCCACAACTACATTGTGACCTTAGCACATGAACTTAATCATTAACTATCATAGTCTTAAAGAACAGCCTTTGGACTCATTTTTAAGAAAAAAAAAAAACACTACTAAAGGGATTCTCTGTCTTCTCAGATTCCCCCACATGTCCAGCTAACCCAGCCACTCTCATTCTCTACCCTACCTGTACTCTCACCTTCCAGACCCCCCTTGGCTCAGGAAGATGGCCCAGCTGAGGAACAACCTCCCTTTTGGAAAAATGTGCTCCAGTTAAATCATACCAGAAACCCTTGACCCAGGAGGGGCCTTGGGATACAACTGACAATTAAATCTCCCGTTATCAGGAGATCTTGCAACTGAGAACTGAGTGTCCCTTCCACCTTACTCATAATTGACAGGGGCCAGTGCCTTGTGTGGGCCTGAGATCACCTGGCATCACCACACTTCACCCCACCTTCTTCCACTTCACCTCACTTTCTCTCCTGCTTGAGAGACAACTAGAAAACTGTGAGTAGCCCTTCACCCTTGGCATAGTGAAGCAGCTTTCTCACTAATGCCCAATTCAAAGAAGGAGAAAAATTCTTGCTTTGATTTGCCATGGGAGGGTGGGGGAAAGGGGAAATTAAAAAAAAAAAAAACTACTTTGAGCTGCACCCTTAATATTTTTGCAAAAATCAATTATATTTGGTTTCTCTTTTGATCATGAAGGTGGTGGTATAGTTTAAGGATTAGGGACATGGATCCTACTGGAATCAGATACTATTGAACTAGAATTTTAGTTCTATCACTTGCTAGCTGTTTGAGCTTGGGGAAGTTTCTTAACTTCTTTGAACCTCAATTTACTTGTCCGTAAAATGGGATAATAACGCTTGCCTTGCATGGTTATTGTAAAGATTAGAGAGTGTCTGTACAGCAAGATTTCTGGGACCTAGTAAGGACTCCATAAAAGGTAGTTGTTATTATTAAAGCTAATTATTTATGTTTGCAACAACCACAGGGTTAAGCTCATTGTCCCAACATCCTTTTTTCTCAACCCTCAGCTTGCTTGCTTTTGCCTTCCTGAAGCTGGAGATATTTATCCTCAGGGTAAGAGACATTGGATATGAAGGATTTAATAAGACAGATTTTCTTGACAGAGGAAAGATTGTTAGGTGCTGGATGAGTGAGGAAAACTTGAGAGTGGCCTTTGCCAAGGAAATCTAAAGTAATTGCCACCCTGTCTGAGAGGCTTCACTCCTGTCTGAAGGTAGGAATGGGGGATGGATAGATGGATGAATGAATGGATGACAGCCTTTGGCTGGCCTTTTAAGGAGTGCATTCCCAGGAAAATAGCCTCTACTTTTCGCAGTGTGGGAGTGAGGGCGGTGGGGTGGATATTGTTTTTAAGTGAGGGAAACCTTGTATTCCATACTTAAGGGGTCATGTTCCCCCACCCTGGGATGCTCTGTTGGCCTGATTTAAGGAAAGCTTTCCAGTTGATCTTTTCATCTTCAGAAATAACACCAGAAATCAATTATGCCATCACTTTCCTTATAAAACTAACTAGCTTTCACTTAGCCGATGGTGTTCTAGGGATTCAGTGTGTCTGGATATTGGATTTCTGTACTGCCTGGGCAAGGTTTTCTGAGAGTGGTATGTGTGGTGTCTGTGAATGAGGGGGTGGGGGATGGCTCAGAGGGTGAGGAGTGGAGCATTGTCTTCAAAATCCCCGAGCAAGGGTGTTTCCATGTCTACTACCCTATTGAGGATTCTAGCAAATAGAGGTAGGGCTGGCTCATTCATATATATTAAAATAAAATGTTAAGGGGACTTCCTTCTAAGAGCCAACTCTAAGGCATTCTCTCCAAATTTACTCGTCTCTGTTGCTATCTCTTTTGTTAGAATGAGAAGATAATCTTGAAAAATTGTTTATGTACAAATCTATATGTTAAATCCTACTTTTAGTGCAGAGAGGCAGCTTGCAAAAAGTAATTTCCATAGAGAGCCTTTTAGACAAACTCCTTTGGTAATATGAATTATAGCCTTTGAATTTCTTGGTTGTTAAATCTTGATTTTTATATATAGGTTTGCTTCAAGCAGTTCACCTATTTACTTTTTAATAGAACGACTGGGTATGTTCCTTTTATAAAATACTCAGGGAGATGGAACCAGTGTCATGGTCCCTGGAGACTTAAGACCTCAGAGCTGTAGTCAGCAACTCTATGAGTTCCATCAGTATGCCAGTTCCCAGCAGGTTTTCTCTATCTGTATTTTAAGGAGTTGTATACAGAATCACTTTTCATGATGACAAGATGCAAGGTAATATGATTTGCAAAAAGAACTGAATGAATCTTTTTTTCCCTCTTTATTTTAATGGAGGCAAACAATGAATTCTTTCCTTAGTTCCTTCTGTTGGTCTTTACTTTGGTTGAAACTTCGTTTTCCCTTTGCTCAGCCACCCTCTGGGGTTACCTGCTCCTTGGGCTGAAGTCCTGAGGCTTAGCAACAAGTAACCATGTTGCCACTGAGGCTAGTGGGCACAGCTGAACACTAATGTTGAGGTCCTAACTTTCAGCTTGATTTGATGAGATGCCACTGCTAAGTGTCATCTTTTTTTGGATCCCTATTTGACTGACCCTTCAGATAAAACAGGTGGACAGGCAAATATTAAATGGGAAATGTTTCTGTGAAACAAATTCTTTTAATAGTGTTACCTCATAAATAAGTAACAAACACAACTCTACCCCCAACGTGCACTAGCCTGTATAGCCAAAATGAAAAAGTAGATTGTATCTTTGTTGCTTTTGTCATGGTTTTACTTCAGTGAATTCTCAAATCAGATCCCTGTTTGTACAGAAGTTTCCAAAATATTTGTTGTAAATAGATCTGAGCCAATTTGGCTGTACATTAGATTCTATTCTGGTAGATATCATTAATCTCCAATAGTTAGAGGTAGGTAAGGGCTATAGGTTTTCCCCACACAACCAGTAGATTACAGTGAAAGCAATTCTGATTAAATTCCACCACATAACTGTTTATTGATAATCAGGCATAAGACAGTTACAGAGCCTGACCTGTACACCCAGCGACATTCCAGCTTTTTTTTTTTTTTTTTTTTTTTTTTTTGCCAAGCACCATATTGTGTGAAAGGTTCACCGGAGATAGATGTGACAATATTTTAGCAGTAGGATTTGGCTTACTTTCTCATTAGAGGGCACATCTGAGTCCTCCATTAAGTTTCTGGACACTTATGTTGAGACTCCTGAGCCTAACGTGTCATTTTAAAGGGGTGAAGGATGTTAGGCTAACCAGAGTCTTATATCCAATTCATGCAAAAGTGGGAGCAACTGAATATTTCTAAGTGATCTATCTATCTTGAACACTAGGAAGTTTCCCTAATGAAATATTTCTAGTATCAATTGTTGTAATGAACAAACGATCAGAAGTGAAGCATGTAGTGTGGCTTTTTTCGCATTAGAAAATAGTTAAGGTATGTTTAACACAGAGTAAAATTTACCTTTTAATGATACAATTCTGTGAATTTTGACAAATGAATACAGTTGTATGAACACCCCAGTCAAGATAGAGAATATTCTCATCATCCCCAAAGATTCCCCTATAGCTTGATTGTGGGATTTTTTTAAGAACAGCTTTACTGAGATACAATTCATATACCATACAATTCACCGACTTAAAGTGTATAATTCAGTGGTTTTTGTATACTACATTTTTTTAAAATTGTGGTTTAAGATACACATATACAAGATATGCCATTTTAAGCGTATTTAAGTGTGCACTTCAGTAGCATTAATTTCATTTGGAATGTTATGCAACCTCTGCTCCTATTTCCAACAGTTTTTTTTTTTTTTTTTTTTTAATCACACCAAACAGCAGCTCTGTACACATTAAGCAATAACTTCCAATTCTTACCTCCCCCAGCCCCTGGTAACAACTGTTATACTTTTCTGTCTCTATAAATGTGCCTATTCTAGGAACCTATTATAAGTGGAATCATACAATATTTTTCGTTATTTGTCTGGCTTGTTTTACTTAGCAAAATGTTTTCAAGGTTGTAGCATGTATCAGAACTTTGTTCCTTTTTTAAGGCTGAGTAATATTACATTGTATGTATATACTACATTTTATTTATCCGTCAGTGGACATTTGGGTTGTTTCTACCTTTTGGCTATTGTGAATAATGCTGAAATGAATGTTGACATACAAGTATTTGTTTGAGTCCTTGTTTTCAGTTCTTTTGGGTATGTATATACCTAAGAGTGGAATTGCTGGGTCATTTGATAATTCTATGTTTAGCTTTTTGAGGAACTGCCAAACTGTTTTCCACAGCAACTGGCCACTTTACATTCCCACCAGTAATGTACAAGTGTTCCAATTTCTACATATCCTCACCAGCACTTGTTATTTTCTATTTTACAAATTATAGCCATCCTAACAATATGAAGTAGTATATCATTGTGGTCTTGTTTTGCATTTTTCCTGATGACTAGTGATGTTGAACATTATTTCATGTGTTTATTAGCCATTTGTTTATCTTTTTTGGAGAAATGTTTGTTCAAGTTCTTTGCCCATTTTTTTAAAAAAAACTGGGTTGTTTGTTTTTGTTGCTGAGTTGCAGGAATTCTTGATTGTAGGCTTTGATTAGAAATTTCAGTTGCTGATTAATATCACCCCTGGAGTTTGTATTCTCAGTTAGGGGTCTTCAGATGTTAACAGCAGTGTGTGGTAAATGTTTAAAGCTCTGATTTATGGCATTTGTCAATTTCCATGGTCAATTTCAAGCTACCAATCTGGCCCCTAACTAAGGTTACAAAGGAGTTGGGAAGAGATGTACACAATCAACTGTTTCTAGCCAGTGCCCTTGGGCTCCCAGCATGCAACCGAATGTTAACACCCTATGGTGTGGAATAAAACTAACACAGAGACATTTATCACAGTGTCTATACTGAAACTATTTAAATTAAATTAGACATAACTAAAAGTAAATGAAAATAATTTTCAATTACAACACATTGGCTCCTTCAATAAAAATAAGAATAGTTATTTGTTGAGCATGTCATATGATAGATGTGTTCTAAGTATTAATAGATATTATTAGTAAATAGAGAAGGAAATGTAGAATAAGTTAATAGGCTAGGACTAGAGCCCATGTGTCTGACCTCTGTACCACACTGTCTTCTATCCCATTAGTGGAATTTACTTACTGAGTGGTGACTACTGTAAACAGAGTAGACTACTTTCTTCTAACCCCAGGGATGCTTCTTTGTTACACTGTACCCTCCAGCCTCTGTAAAACCTGTTTAAACTGGAATGGAAAACTAAAGCTGTGGTAGTACTACCCATCCACAAACTGTAAGGGGTTAAAAATATCCCTTTCCTGGTTGCAAAAAAGCATGCGTTGTAAGACAAATTTAAGCAAGTGAGAAATGTCAAAAATAGAAAGTGAAAGTCCCCCATAAACCCATCTGCTAGAGATAATCATTATTAACAACCAGCGCTTATTCTTTCAGAGCTTTTTCTTTGCACATTTTTAAAATAAAAATGAGTTGATTCCTTATAATCTGAAACTTTTTTCACTTGATAACATAGGCTATTTTCCATGCCAGTGTGTATAGCTCTACTTCATTACTTTTAACAGCTACATAATATCCCTTGTGTGAAGGAAATGCAAGAGATTTTGAAGGCTATTTTGAAGAAGTGATGACAGGTGGCACATGGGACAAAAAGGTTGATAACTACTGTTGGATACCAACAATAGAGGGACCATACTTTCTCCCCCCAGAGGCTACCATTAACTTACTTACCTGAAATGATAAGATGAAAATCCATGAACACTGGGAACAGTTACAGGAAAACTCAAACTAAGCTTGTCGGGGATAATTGAGAGATAAGACTACATTATCAACTACATATCAAATTCCTTCACATGTCTTTAGGGCTTTACAGCTCTGGTCTTTGAAACCCTATTTGGAATCTCTTTCTTAATCTCCAGTAGGCCCTGCTTTGTGTTTGGGAAACATTGTTTTCCAGGAAATAACAACCGTTTAATTTCTCTTCATCTGTTCCTTGAGAGATGGCTACCACCATGTTTTCTTGCTGTGACATCTGTCAGGTTTTTTGTTATTGTTGTTTGGTTTTGAGACAGTCTTGCTCTGTCACCCAGGCTGGAGTGCAGTGGTGCTATCATAGCTCACTGCAACCTTAAAGTCCTGGGCTGAAGCAATCCCCCCACCACAGCCTGCTGGATAGTTGGGGCTGCCACCATTCCTGGCTTTATTATTATTATTTTTTAACTTTTTTCTACAGATGGGGGTCTCAATATATTGCCCAGGCCATTCTCGAATTCCTGGGCTCACATGATCCTCTTGCCTTGGCCTCCCAAAGTGCTGGACTTACAGGCGTGAGCCGACATGCCTGGCCCAATAGGTCAATTTTCAGTGGTAGCCAGTTTCTTTGTTTTCTCCTCTGTCCTAGGTACTTGTCACTAGGAAAGTGCTTAATGAATCTATCAGGTGTGGCATTTATTATTGTTGCAACAGGGAATTGATGAGAGAAAAGAAGGTTATCTAGGGGATGAGTTAGCCGAGAAGTGGAAGAAGACAGCTGTTGTTAGGTTGCTGTCAAAATAGCTTGCTTTACTCTCTGGCATGTATCACTCCAGGGAATGAAATAATCCAAGAATGATAAGCTCTCAATTGCCATCTGTTGGTTTGTGATGCTGCTTGCCTTGTTCTAGTTAACATTGAACACTGACCTCCCATGGCACTTGGAGAAACTTAGAGGAGGCTAAGATGATCACAGGGTGTAAAGCAAACTGACTGAATGCTTGCAGAGAGATGGGCTAAAGGCCAATGATATCAGTTTATCAGGATTTGTCTGCTTTATACTCTCTTCCCCTTCCCTCTTTACCCCAGGGAGCTGGCAGAATGGTGATTCCTCTGTAATATGACGTATTTAGATTCTTTTAGCAGTTTAAAGAAGTTAATTTAATGGGGGTGAAGGGGGCTAAGTTTTTAGGGTTGAGGTCAGGTAATATCCTTTGTAAGAAAGATTATGGGTATGTGAAGCTCATGAATGGACATGTCATTATCTTTCAAATTACATGCTAAAGATCAGGCTTATATCATATGTATTTTACTGTGCCTTTTGGTCCGTATCCCAGGCAAACCACTCTATGCCAGCTGTGCTAGCTGCCAGTGGCCATGAACTGTGCCAGAGACCCTGCTTCCCTGGCTTAGGTTGATTGGACTAAGAGTGGCCACCTGTCACCAAGACAGCCCATCTGTCACCTAGCAGGTAACATGGGCTTGATGAGCTGAGAGCTGGGTCTTTCATATTCCTCTCCTAGGAAATTAGAATTGGGAAGCTGAGAGTCTAAGGCAGTTTGCAACTGTGAAAACAGCCAAAAGAAGATGGGGAGTGGAGCAGTCATGGCAGTCAATGTCCTAGCTAGTGTGGTGAAGGGACAGAAACCATGAACATACAGAGGGACCTTGCAAGGGAGGAAAAGAGATGCCCTGAGAGACAGAAGAACTGTTTCCTACAGACACCATGAAACCAGAACCACCTTCCAGTTCTCTTGAGGCCCAGCTTTATCCTACCCTAGGATTCGAATGGGATACCTGTATTCTTTCCACAAACCTCCCTTTTCTTGAGCCAGCTTGAATGAGACTCTGTTTTCTCACAGTGGAAATTATCAGACCAGATCTAGGCCCCTACCTTTACAATAGACTTCTGGGTTGAGTCAACAACAGTTGGTTGACATTTAAGGTTAACATGAAGTGCTGACTATTCTAGGTATTACGGGGAACAGTGGAAAAACACAGATACCTGATTATTTCTCTCAAGCTCAGTGCTGACGTTATGGGCTTTGAATCCCTGTTCCTGGCAAACAGTGAGAATGAAAAGAGGCAGGGATCCTGACTGTTCATTTATCACTTCAGAGCTCTCAACCAACAGGGGGCCTTCTTTATCCTATTTAACCTCTCAGTAGAGTATTTGCCTTTTGCTTATTCCTCTTTCCAGTCAACTCTTGATTATTCATATAATAGAGGAAAGCATTAATGCAAATGATAGAAGACTGCCCCACCCTGGCCTCTCTTCCCTGCCACAGCAGCATCCAGTCACAGAAATGGAAACAACTAGCAGGAGAGGTAAGGAGGCTGGAAAAAGTTGGGATGGGGCCAACCAAATTAACATTGTTTGTTCTCTTATTTGTATGCCTTCCTTTATGCTGCCTGTTTGAGTTTCTTATCCGGTGTCACTAGGAGATTGCTAGAACAGCAATGCCATTTGCTTGATTTAAGTCAAAATATGAGATCTTTTAAAAAGCTAAAATAGAGTTGGGGGCAGTTAACTAGGATGCCATTTTCCTCCCCCATCTATTGTACCCACTATTTGTCGGTGCCACCTAGCTTTCTTGTTGGCTGAGTTTAAGGTTGGACCCCTAGCAACCATTCTTTGTTCAGGATTTGGTACTAAGCAAGCCAAAATATCCACAGTGGGATTTCTCAGGGTGTGGTTCCTGACCTGCTTGCATCAGAGTCACCATGTGTGCTTATTAAAAATGTGGATTCCTTCTACCTTGAATGCGTTGAAGGAAAAAATGCTAATTCCTGGGTCCTATCCTAGACCTGTTGAGTCCAGATATTGGGGTAGGGGACAGAATTAGCTCAGAAATATGAATTTTAACTCACCCACCTCCAGGTGGTATTTATGTGCACTCAACTTTATAAAAGACTACTCTGTAAAATGGCCTGAGGGGATTTGGAGGGTAGCTCTAGGAAATTACCAACATTTCTCTTTCACTCACTATTTGTAGAGCAAGTGAGTGGCTGAGGAGAGGAAAGTGGGGCATTCAAGGTGTCAGAAGGTATTTTTCTAAGTGCAGATAGTTAAAGGCTCTCTATTGAAAGGAAAGTGAAGAAAAATGGAGATGCCAGCCTGCTAAATTGGATGACTCTTAACACGCAAATATTTGTTGAATTAATGCCTGAATAATTTAGAGTTGATTGGGCAGAGACACAGGAAGATTGTGTTTAGTTACAGAATTGACTCACATCCGTGTTTCCTTCTAAAGAGACCACCTTCTCCGTTTCTGCATTGTCTTTCTTTAGAGTGAAAATAGCTAGTCATCCCAACATATTTAGGGTTTTGTGGTAATTTAAATATATAATAGGAACTGCATAATGTCATTCAGTGGTTGTGCCTATATATAACCCTACTAATCAAAATGAGGATATTGTGTTTATTTTAAGAATCTGGCTCTATAGTCTCTGGTCTGGTTATAGTGTTCAGTCTTTTTTCAAACACTGTCTCTATGGAGTAAAGCAGGGTCCTCTGTTTCATTGCTTTCCCGATATTCCCCAACAAGCATTGAATGGATTTTGTTCCAAAAGTTTCTTTGGAAATCTATTTAGAATTCAGATTGCACTTTCCCAAGGACACAATTTTCTTCTTGTGGTTCAGGTTCCCAGACCAGCTGGCAAAAGCCTATTTAATGTGAAGTGGAGTAAAGTACAACCCTACAGCTCCTTACCAGAATGCCTAAAAGTATTTTTGATGGGTAAAGCCTCAGAGTTCAAACCCGTGATCCTAGGCATACATCCCAGCTTCATTCTCTGAGCAGCATCATAGGGATTTATTGTTGGAGGGAACAATTCAAACTTTTCTAGGCCTCCTAGGCTTTCTGTGATCTGACTTCTGCTCATCGCTCCAGTATCATTTCTTACCATGTTTCCTCTGGCACTCTATACTATCCAGGGCAAAAAGAACTACTTCAAGTTCCCAGAACACATCTTTGTAACCTCTGGGCCATTTAAGGCTTTAGTTATGCTCTTCCCTCTGCCTGGAGCGTTCTTCTCCTGCCCACCCCTTCTCACCGCTATTTTGTGTTACAGCTCTCAAAACTCTGATCACAGTTTTTATTATAGAGTGATTTGTATGCTTTATGTCATTTATCTTCCTTCCTGCCAGACTGAATACTCCACAGAAGCAAAGACCATGTCTATGTTACTCACTGTAATGTCCCTAGCATTTAGTATAGTATCTGGCAAGTAGTACGTTCTTAATAATGATATGGCCGGTGAATGAATGATCTTGTCCAGGGATTCCCACCCTCTTTTACAGATGTGGACTCTGAGATTTAGAGGGGCCAAGTTTTTGTCCAAGTCCATAGTTAGCAGCTGTTTTGGAATTAGAACTTAGGGCTTCTGACTCCCAGCCCATGGTATTTTCTTCCATAAGTATACATTTCTATAAATAATCTCTGAATGCATTGGAATAACTTACCCTGGGGATTATTTGTGGCAGTCTCAAATAATTTGATCATGGTCACTACTGGTGATATATAGAGGGAAATAGGAGAGTGAAGTAATACAGAACATACCTTCTGTAATTTAGATTTGGATCATTTTTGCTGGGCCTGGAGGAGGAGCTAAGGGAGTACAGCTTACCCATGTGCTGCTTATGGAATTTAGACATAACAGATGGCTGTTCATTATTCTGGGATTCCACAGCTGTACAGAGTGTAGAACATAACTGACTGCTCAGTGGGTATTTCTTGATTATGCAATTTGCTAAAATCACTCTGCTAGTGTGTTAAAATACCATTTAGAGTTTTCTATACCATTTAGCATTTAATTGATAAGCATGTGGTTTGATAAATGTTGTCGTTGTTGTTGTTAATATTAGTAGTAGTAGTAGTAGTAGTTCTATGTAGTTCTTATAGAGATATAAGGGCCTTTAGATCATTTGATTTGGAGCCCTGCCTCAGCTATTAATTGCATAGTACCTTGAATACCTGGTGCCTAATGTTATTTGCCTTTTCACTGTGGCTCTCGGGGGGTTTCTGCTGCTCAGAATAGAATGGAATCTTTCATAAGACTGGATTAAAGGGCATACAGCCTACTGCAGCAGTCTCTAACCTTTTTGGCAGCAGGGACAGGTTTTGTGAGAGATAACTTTTCCATGGACTGAGCCAGGGGGTGGGGGAGGATAGTTTCGGGATGAAACTGTTCCACTTCAGATCATCAGGCATTAGATTCTCATAAGGAGCATGCAACCTAGATCCAGAGCATGCAACCTTGACCTCTCTCATGTGCAGTTCACAATGGGATTTGTGCTCCTATGAGAATTTAATGCTGTCACTGATCTAACAGGAGGTGGAGCTGAAGCAGTGATGCTTACTCATCCATGATTCATCTCCTGTGCGGCATGGTTCCTAATAGAACATGGAATCGGTACCATTCTGTGGCTTCGGTCTTGGGGACCTCTGTCCTAATGGATCATCTTAGTAAAATTCAAAGGCATTCAACAGGAAGACCCATCTAATGACATGCAAGGAGGAAATATCTGTAGACCCCTGGAGAAGACGGAAAAGCAGTGGTTTTCCATGTGTAAACCTGGGACGGAGGGCTGGATTTTTGTGGTAGGTACATGACTGGATGGAGAGGATGACATAGCTCAGTTCTCCACTTGGCTTTCAGTAGGACACACTTCAGGAGTCCCACATCAGAATGGCTATTTTCTCCCTGTGGTGAAGAAAACAGCTGGCAAGTGGCTAATTAAAACCATGATAAGCCCAAAAGCTAAACTCATAGGCCTTTGAGAGCCTTCCATTGGGTTGCCCAAAGTCCTTAGAGGCTGGTTGGTCAATATAATGAATAATAAAGGAAATTCATTGAACACCTTTAAGAAAAGGTAATGCATGTCTTCCTTCAAACCATCAACACTTTGCTCCATCACAGATTTGCTTGTGTGCCCCTTCTTAGTATATCACTCTCAATAAACTCCCCTTTGTCTTTCTGGGCTGAGGGAACCAAATGAGTATAGAGTGTCTCTCCTTGGAGTCACACATTTCTTTCCTCCTTGTGACTGCCAAACCACCAAACTCTGGGCCATTTGCATCTGTCTTAAATTCTCCTCATAATGTGGCAAAACGCTTTTTCATGCTAGGTATGATACGACCCTTCCTGGTGTGAACCAAATGTGGAAAGCACTGTAATTTGAGACAGTTTTCAGAAAAGAGCCTCTTCTGGTACAGAAAGGCCCTTTTTCCTTTCTTTTTTTGTTTCATTTGTGCCTCATCACATTTTGTCCAATTTCAGCTCATCTCAGGCTGAATTTTCCTTTTGATGTCTGCTTTTTAGAATAGCCCTTGCTTGAGAAAAAAGAACCAAAGGCCAACTCTGTGGCTTTCAATTTGCAGCGTCCCCAGCGCTTTTATTCATCTCAGTGCTTCCCTGGTTGGGAACAAAACCCAGGCTCCAGGGTCAGAGCACATACAGAGGAAGAACCCATTTTGAAAATCCAAGCACATGAGGAATTCATGTTTCATTGTCATCCTGCTTTGCAATTGGGTCAGGTACATGTCGAGAGGAGAGAGTGGACTTGGAAGAAAAAAAAAAAAACTGGTTTGTAACCTCCACAAAAGCAGACATTTTCATTTCCCCCAGAAGTTCCATTAGGAAGAAAGCACGTTTTTAAGGGTTTAATTGCTAATTCAGTGTTGCTTTCAGCTGTTAGGGCATCTGTATCAAGGCACCTAGTTTGGGAGTTGGAACAGAAGTTTGGTGTACTAACATTTGGGAACTTTCTCAGACAGGATGCCTTTGTTATCTAGTTTCTTTCCATTTTTCAGTACCTGCTTTCAGACCTATGCTTTTTCTCTTCTGCTTCCTTTGGTTTCAAATCACAGAAGACCTATCTCTTTGTGCTCCCAGCTTGTTGTTTTGGTTACAGGCTTTTTCGGCTTCCCTGCCTTTGAGGAGAATATACAACCTAAAGAAATTTTCTTAAATGGTGACTAAGGGCCAGGCATGGTGGCTCACACCTGTAATCTCAGCACTTTGGAAGGTCGAGGCGGGCGGATCATCTGAGGTTAGAAGTTCAAGACCAGCCTGGCCAACATGGGGAAATCCTGTCTACACAAATACAAAAATTACCCAGGCATGATGGTGGGTGCCTGTAATCCCACCTACTCAGGAGGCTGAGGTGGAGGAATCGTTTGAACCCGGGAGATGGAAGTTGGAGTTAGCTGAGATCGTGCCATTGCTCTCCAGCCTGGGTGACAAAGCAAGACTGCCTCGCCAATAATAATAATAATAAAATAAAATTAAAAAATAAACATGGTGACTAAGGTCCCTTTCTCTAA